CTGGCCTGGCGGGTGTGGAGCGTCGGTAGGAGCTGGGCGCGCACGGTTACCGCGCGTGGAGGAGACACTGCCCTGCGGCGATGGGTGCCAGGGGCGCTCCTTCACGCCGGAGGCAGGCGGGCCGGCGGCCGCGGTACCTGCCCACCGGGAGCTTTCCGTTTCTGCTCCTTCTGCTGCTTCTCTGCATCCAGCTCGGCGGAGGACAGAAGAAAAAGGAGGTACAAGGAGTCCCCTGGGCGCTCCAGGGAGGGCCGGGCGGGCAGGGCGGCCGCGTTGCTAGGCAGCCGGGCGGCGGGGCTTGGGCGGTGGCTGCTTTCGGGCGCCAGCGGAGCGGTTGGGAGGCCTTTGCGCGAGTCCTTTGGGCCCCGCCGTTTCCGAAATGGGGTTGGCCAGTGCTTTCTCAAAAAACTGCACGAAGCATCCTTCCTTTGTGCTCCCGGCACCTCACATCTTTCACATCCAGGGAGCTTCCTATCCTCCGTTGAAGGCCGAGCTTCGGGGCCCTCGGTTCAGTAGAAAGGGGTGTGTGGGATGTGAAAACACTCTTCAGGAGTATTTCAAACCTGCAGGCACGATTTATCCCTTGTGTTCGTTACCCTGCTTCCTTTGTTATTCGTTTCAGGAGGCAACAGCATAAGAAGGTTTGGAGTTATTCTGTATTTTTATTCTACGTTTTAAAGTTGTATGTTTTTCTTTGTGTTGAACTCACTGTGTAAGTGTGCGAATAACCTCACGTTTTTTGAGTTACGCAAATTTAGTTGTGACATCAGGTCACCTGATTTCAATTTAGTTCTTTAAGAACTTTGAGGGTGAGGATAGAAGTAACTGTATTTAAAGTAATTGTACAGTTAATTTGTGAATTTCAGTCATCTGTCAGTACTTTGGATGGTCGATCTGGCAGATTATGGAGAAAAGTTATTTTGGAAATGTAAGGTTTCTAATTGTACGTCCTTTTTGTGAGAGTATTCTTGTGTTAATTCAAGATGGTTTTTCCTGGTGAAGTTTTATTTACATAAATGTGGCTCAAAAATCTAATTAGGGTTTAAAATATTAGCAAAACTTTCTTTTTAAAAAAAAATTTAGGGGGATGGTAATTAAACGTATTTATTTTTTATTACTTTTTTTTTCTAAACGGAGGTATTAGGGATTGAACCCAGGACCTCGTGCGTGCTAATAAGCATGCGCTCTACCACTGAACTATACCTTCCCTCCAAAATATTACCACAGCTTTCTTGATAGCTTGGTAACAAGAGTGAAAAAACAGGAAAAATAAGTGATTCTCTTTCCTTTATTCTTTGCCTGAGACAACTTTGAACTCAATGTTAACTTCTTCCCTTTAGCTTTTTTATTGTAGCATGAATATAGGGCATACAAAAGTTTCGGCTGAGTTATGGTAAGAGGTGTAGTGAAGAACCACTGTTAAATTAAAACTATTTACAAATATAAACTAAAGGTATTTTTCTCTAGCGTGTGGTATTTATATACATTTCGAGAGTTTTAGATTTTATAGTTTTTCTTGAGAAAGGGAAGAGGTTTAAAAATGGGGTTTTTTTGGTGTAGATTACCAGAGGAGAAGGCAATAAAAAAAACAATGAGCTCCATGGAAATTCTGATAATTTATCTCCTAAAAGATCCCTGTGACCGGGATAACTTTAAGTTGAAGAAAAATAGAAAAAAGGCCAAAAAAGTCTAAAAAGTGCACATCTTCAAAGCATCTTAGCATCTCCAATTGGAAAACTACTTTAAACATGTGAAAACGCTTGTTAATTTAGTATAATTATCAATTAGGATAACATCTGTTTCCATTCAAGTATTTTTTTTTACTAGAAGTTATTTTAAAATGGCAAAATAGGGAGAAAATTGATGAGGATTAAAAAGGGATGTCTTCCAAAACTGCTTTTATTTCTCTTGACTAGGAGAGTCTAATACTAAATCATGGTGGTGCTGTAGAATATATGTATTTTATTTAAGGAAGAGAGAAAAATAACAAACAGTTGGAGTTTTAATACTTTACTAAATGAGCATGCTTATCTCTGAAATGTAGTCTAATTCTGTATTTGGTACTCAGTTCAAAAGGTGTGATCTTTTCCAGTACTGGAAAAAAAATTATTGGAAACTTCACCAAGTGATTGGTCACCAGTATGTTACTTTTCTAGGGATATTAGAGTTGTTTTGACCGTACGTGGCTGCTGCTCCGTGTGTGTGTGTGTGTGTGTGTGTGTGTGTGTGTGTTTGTGTGTGTGTGTTTACTACTGTAAATATTACTAATATAAGTATCAGAATAGTTGACTTGGCCTTGACATGATGGGTATATTCTTTTGTTCTGGGAATCCAAATGGAAATCGAAAGTTGAGTTTGGACTCCGGAGTTGGACCCTGGTTGCTTTTAAGAAAATAACGTTTATAACGGTGATGGTTCCCACCATAGGTTTTTGAGTTGAGTTTTTGAGATGGTCCTGTCACAGCTTATACTATCTAATTGTTTGACATCAAGCATACCACTAACCTGAATTTTAGGATTTTTTTGTTTAAAAATACAGATACAATACCTGCATCTCAGGCTTGTCTTTGGATCAAATAAGGCTGTATTTAGTTTACTGCAATGCTTGAAACATAACAGGTGGTCAGTAATTTCGTAGCTGCTCTTGTGTGTTCCTCACTTAAATGAAAGCATAGACATGATAATAAGATCCTAAAATATAAAAATTAAAAAAAATTTGCTGAGTAAACTGACTTTATAATAATCATAAATCATATAGTTCATGGAGTGAATTGTCTGTTATTTATTTTATAAGTGAATACTGAGAATTCCAAACACTTACATTGTTTGAGAACTTCCCAGGAGATTTTACATCATGGGAAAAAATTGGTGGTATTCAAGGATTTGGGGGGGTGGTGTCTACATATCTATCTCTTCATGAAGACATTTTTTCATTAAAAATAATTAGTTTTATTCTTTATTTGAGAGTGTAGTCAAAAGAAATAGTTAAGTGAATAGGCAAAGAAAATTGGAGATTTTTGTAGTCTCCTTAATTACATTGAATACAGTCATTAAAAACTAATTTTTGAATCCTCACTCAAATGTCAAGTGATAGGAATTTTTGGGAGACTTTAGCTTCTTAGTAGTATATCATTTGCATATCTAATGAATCATGGGTTTCCATTATTTTGACAGTTTCTTTATTTCTTACAAAATCGTTAACACTTATCAGTTAATCAGCTTCATTTAGAATTCTTTTAATCTATAATGACCTCTTCTAATAATATAAAAAGAGCTCAAAATCTGTAATGATTTCCAGTGGACTCAATAACTTTGCCATCATCAAAAATAGCTGCAGTCAGCCCTCCGTACCTGTGGGTCCTGTATGGGCGGATGTAGGGGTGGCTGCATCATGCCATTCTATGGTATAAGGGACTTGAGCAGTTTCGGATTTTGGTATCTGCTGGGGTCCTGGAACCAATCCCCCTTGGATACTAGGACAACTATGTTATAATAATTTATAAATCCTGCAAAGAAAATGATTCGGTAATAGGCCACGACATGTAGGTAACAATGAATATGCAACATGAAAAGCTGAGTGGCTCATAAGTATTTTTTAAAAGAGAAGTAATATTATGGCCTAAATGAAGTGAAATCTTTCAGTTGCCTCTGTGATCATGTCTGTAAGCACATTTTACCTATCTGGTTACTTTCTAGTGGTTCAGCCATGAAATAGAGGCTTTACTGACTTAGCAAGTGATACAGGGAGAGGATGGAGGTAAGCAATGGATTTTACCTTTTAGCCAAGAACTTAGGTGGAAGAAAAGGTTTGTAAACGTAGGAGCACAACTTTAGGAAATGAATAGTAATTATGCATTCATATTATTCCCATTTACGCCAGTTGTGCTGGTGTCAGTCAGTCGTTTGACCTCGGCTAGAGTCCGTATGGTAACACCTTGAAGAGTGGTTGGAAATGATGGGTCTTACTTAGGTTGGCCAAAACTGCTTGTCAATAATTGTGGAGGCTTAGACCTGCTGCAGTTGCATGGATAATGGCAGAAGGCGAGAGATTCCCGGGTCCAGGTGGACAGTTCATTACAGCAGTAGAATGGCCAGAATATTGGCATCTGTGCTGATGACTCGGGCCAGAGCACGCCTGCGAGTGTAGTGTAGTGCCTTTCAGAGCAGGAGAGGAACCCTGAGCTTAAGGAACTCAGATTTTTTTATAATGGGCAGTAAACTCGTTTGACCTTAGCCCTAGAGGGAAATGTTATCTTTTTGAAACTGGAAATTAAGCAAACCTGCTCTTTGTTCTAGAAGGAACGCTGTGTGCTCTACAAACATCCTTGAAAAGATAGTCGAGAACAAAGTCAGTCAGATACTTGTGCTTGCAAATTATGGAGAAACTCACGGAGAACTGTCTGCCTAAGTGAGGGGTTGTAACTTTGTCAGAAGGGGACACTGCAGGGTTATTTTCCTCCACACACACGCACTGCCAGCATGTTCAGTCCCATGCCTGGGTTCTCTTGTTCGTGGGAGACACAGAGAAAGGGAGAGAGAGAAAACATGCCACTTGGGCCACAGATTCATCAGCGGCTTGTTAACTTTTTGGCCACATTTCCTTGTGCATGTTCTCTCTTGCCTTAAATATTCAATGAGTTCGTATGTGCGTGTGATCGGTAGGCCTGTGACTGCCTTACTGGAGTCCAGGTGTTACTTGGCGTGTTAGACCAGGTCATGAGTGCTTCTTTTGGTAAGACTCCCTCCTGGAGCATCATGCTAATCGCACCCAGATAGAAAGCTTACCTGCGGCCAAGTGGAGCAGTGCTGTGTTCCCCTGCGAGAGAACAGGTAGATCAGGAACAAACATGTTTGTTATATAACACTGTGTGCGCATGTGTGAGCACATGTGTGGACCAGATAGGTAATGCGTATATTAGTCTATCAAGTTTTTTTTTCTGTCTCCTGGCAAGATACCTGCAGCTTCTCAAATTGAGCACATCTAAAAGGGAACCCTTAATCCTTCCTTCTGCCCATCTTGCTTAGCTGTTTTCTTATTGCTGTTAACCGTGCTGTTTTATGGGGAACAAATTTTAAACTTCTTTTTAAGTAATCACTTGCCATATATAATGTATCTTTATAGCTCTTATCCTGTATTTAGAACATTGCACACAGAGAGGCTGACTTCACGTAATTCCTTGCAGAGTTGTACATACATTTGAGGAGAGCATCTTGCAAA